GCGCCTGGGAACACGTGGGAGCGCCTGGGAGCGCCTGGGAGCGCATGGGAACGCTATAGGGAGCGCCTGGGAGCGCGCTGTAGCACCTGGGAGCGCCTGGGAGCGCCCGGGACACCGGGGGAACGCTGGGAATTAAGCCCGAGGGCGCCGCATGCTGTATTTTCATATGATTTGCGGCCCCATGGACGGCCGAAAAGGCGCCGCACGCGGTATGTTTATAGGTTTGGAGCCCCAGGGGAACCATCAGGTCGACGGGGGCCCGCTTGCTGCGGCTGAGGGTTAAGGGTTCCTTTTCTTAGGTCGAACCAGCGGAGCCGTACGCGCGCGGCGTGCGAATTCCTCCTCAGCGCTGCGCGCTTCGTCGGTGCCACGAACGTTGCATTGGGCAGGCTCGCTGAGCGCTCGGCCAGACGCCACGGGCTTCGAGTCTGCGCGGCCCGAGGCTTGAAGTTTAGGGTTTAGGGCTTGCATTGGCGCATGCGCGCGCTGGCTGCGATTCCCCCCCACATCACGGTTGTTGGGGGAGATCGCTGCCCAAGCCGCGCGCGCCACGGAAGTTGCACTCCCGCCCCAGAATGCCCAGAGTAAAGCCGTTCAGGGTTTAGCGCTTCTCCCCCCAACCCCTCTATCACGGAAAGCTTTCGAATGGTGCGCGCGAGCGGTGTAGCTGAAGCGCGCATGCCGCCGCGGCCGTGGCAGTGCGCATCCATGTAGGCACGCGCCGGGGGCGCTTGGCGCAGGCGCTCGAGCCCGCCTCGTCGAACGGGCGGCTGTTTGTGCCTTCGGCGTTGAGCGTCGCCGTTGGGCTGCCGCTGTTTGTGCCTTTGGCTGCGCATTTGCCTTCGGCATTGCGCTGCGGCGCTGCGCTGCCGCTGGCGCAGCATTGCAGCGAGTTTCCATGCGTCCTGGACGCGCGGCCGCGCCGTAGGGCTCCTCGCTGACAGCGACGCGCATGGCAGTTGCATTCGCCCTCGGCGCTGGGTTTCGTAGTTGGGGTCGCCCCCGCTGAAGCGATTCATCGACGCAACCGCCTTCGGCGCGACCTTCGCACAGCTGGAGGGGGAGCGCGAGGGGGTGGGCCGGGCACCTCCTCGCTACGATGCGCGGCTGCGGCAGCATGGCGGGCTGCCCGGGGGGAGCCACCAGAGCTCTGGAATCGCCGCGGAACGTTTCTCGGGTGCCCAGGAGCGCCGCTGGCCCCGGGCAGGAGCTATATCACGGTGACGGTGGCTTGGCGGGCCCTGGCAGGGGGCCCTGCGGATTCCGGAATCGCCACGGAACGTCGCTTGGGCGACCAGCGACGCCCTGGGCATTGGGCGCCCTGGGTCGGCGCCGGAGGCCTTGGAAGCGTCTGGCACGGCCCTGGGAAGGCTTTGGAACGCCTGGGAAGCCCTGGGGGCGCCTGGGAGCACCCCGGGAGCTCTGGGAGCGCATGGGGCGTCCCTTGGAAGGCCCTGGGCCCTGTCGGGCGCGCCCAGGAACGCTCTGGGAACGCCCCAGGGGCCAGCGAAGCCCGTATTTTCACGCGCAAGGCGCCTTCCAGGAGGCCCCAGGGGTCCGCTGTAAGCGCATTTTCACGTGCCTCGCCGTTCCACGGGATGTAGGAGCTCACGGAAGACCCCATGGCTGAGCCTCGGGTTGAAGGTTCTATTCATCTGTCAGAACCACCCCCGAGGGGGTACACGCGCGGCGGGCGCATCCTCCTCAGCACTGCTCTCGCGCTTCGTCGGTGCCACGTCCGTGCATGGGCGGACTCGCTGATCGCTCGGCCAGACGCCACGGCCGGCGATGTTGCACCGCGTCGCCCCAGGTCAGAACTCGGCAGCCGTTCTGTACGATTCCGGACGCTCCTGGCGAGGCGGAGCTGCTGCAAAGCACCCTGAGGCCCGAGGCTCGACAACCGCCTTGGGGTCGCTCAGCGAGGGGGAGATGGACGGGGAAGGGGGGAGAAAGGTACACTTTTTGGGCCCTGCGGCCCCCTTCTGGGCCCCAAGGGACCTTCATTTCAGGACCCTACAGGACCCCTTTTTCTGCAGCCCTCGTTGCTCCCCCCGATGTGTCGCCCCCCCAATGCGCGACGCACGCAAAGAGCCGCTGCAGCACTCCCCGGACATCTCTCTGGAGGCGGACATACCCGTAGCCGCGCCCTCGCGGCTGGGTTTCCGGGGCGCGATCCCGCAGATGCGCTGTCGCACGGAAACGTTCCGCCTGCGGCATCCGAGAAGCGCTTCCTCCTCCTCCTCCTCCTCCGCCTCCTCCTCCTCCTGTATCCGCGGGGTCGCGGCACATGACGCGGCGCGGTCCACCCGCCCCCCCCCATCACGCGGCGCCCAGCCGCCGAGGCCAGAGGAAAACACGCCGGAACGAAAACGCGCCCCTCGCGGGCGGAGTCCCCGCCGCTCCTTCCGCGAGGCGCGCCGCGACATCCTGCGCTCGTGGGGCGCACGCCCCCTCGGTGGCCGCCGCCCCGCAGCCCCCCGCTCTGCAGCTGCGGCGTGGCACGGGGCCCTCCCCGGAGCAGCGGCGCGCCTCGGCCTCCCCCGTGCCTCGTCCGTCCTCGTTCGTCGTCGCTGCCTTCGTCTACGTGGGCGTCTTCGTCGTCGCCGTCGCCGTCGCCGTCGCCTTCGCCGTCGCCGCCGTCGTCGTCGCCGTCGTCGCCGTCGTCGTCGTCATCGCCGCCGCCGCCGCCGCCGCCGCCGCCGCCGTCGTCGTCGTCGTCGTCGTCGTCGTCGTCGTCGTCGTCGTCGTCGTCGTCGTCGTCGTCGTCGTCGTCCGTCTGAGTCCTCCTTCTCGCCGTCGTCTGCCGTCCTCCCCGCGCTGCTGCTGCTGCGGCGCCGTTCCCGGCGGAGGCGGCGCGGGCCGGGGGGGCGCCCGGCCCGCAGCCTAGGAAAGGCGGGGGCGGGGGGGGGGCACCCCCGCCTCTCGAAGAGGGGGAGGGCTGGGAGGAGCAGGGGGAGGACGGGGAAGGGAGGGGGCAGGGATCCTGGCCGTTCCTCTCCCATCCCTTCCCATGGCGCTGATTTTTCACCATCCGCGGACAGGGAGAAAGAGGGAGAGAGAGAGAAAGGGAAGCGTCAGCAAAATGGCGGGGAAGAAAAAGAAGGAGGAGAGGGGAGGGTCAGCAGAATGGCGGGCAGGAGGAGGAGGAGGAGGAGGAGGAGGAGGAGGAGGAGGAGGGGCAGGAGGAGGAGCAGCAGCAGCGGGAGGGGAGGGAGTGGGCGAGGTGCTACGGAGGAGCAGCGGGAGCGGGGGCGAGACGCGGGAGCGAGGAGCAACTGGGCAGGAGGGGCAGGGCCGCCCATCACCTCAGCTCCCTTGACGGGGGGAGTGTGTGTGTGTGTGTGTGTGTGTGTGTGTGTGTGTGTGTGTGTGTGTGTGTGTGTGTGTGTGTGTGTGTGTGTGTGTGTGTGTGTGTGTGTGTGTGTGTGTGTCGTGTGTGCGTATGTGCGTATGTGCGTATGTGCGTATGTGCGTATGTGCGTGTGCGTGTGCGTGTGTGTGTGTGTGTGTGTGTGTGTGTGTGTGTGTGTGGGTGGGTGGGTGTGGGCGGGGGAATTAGGGGCGGGGGAGCGGGCGAGGGAGTGAGGACAAGCCAGGTGCGCTCGTGCCACATCTGGCATCCGATCCCTCCCTCCGAGCCCTTCCCATTACGCTGATGCTTCTTTTGCCAGCGGACGCGTGTCCTAGCCGATCTGGGACTCCACAATAGACCCCATCGTGCTATGCGCAATCAGAAGGGGGGAGCTGAAAACATACGAGGAGGAGGAGGAGGAGGAGGAGGAAAAGGAGGAGGAGGACAAGGAGGAAAAGGGTGCAGGCACCCCACCCCACGGGCGTTCGCAAACATGCTCGCCCCGCGTGCTGCCAGCCTCATCTGGCGGAGTCAGGCCCTCGCTCGGAATGCCGGGGGTGCGGGACGAGGGCGGCCTGGTGGGAGATCGTGCACGCTGCAGCCGCACGGGTTGTCCGCCGAAGGCCTCGAGGCAGCCGCCCAGGCCAAGGCAGCGCCGCCCCGCCAGCAGCCGCTGGCCGAGGGCGGGCCCGCCCCTTCTCCCCTGCCCTCCCCGCCCCATGGGGAGGAGGATGAGGAGTGGGAGGTGGGAAAGGGGCCCCTTTTCCAGACGCCCTTGACGAGGCGGACGCTCTTGAGTGTTCATCTTGATGCGTTTGTCGTGTTTCCGCGACTGTTGCCCGCTTGCCCAAGAGGGAGACTAACCAGTAGTGTTATGCTATTGGTTCCTGTTCTGACCCGTGGAGTGCCCCTGGCGCCTCGAGGTGTGCGATGATGAGAAGGAGGAGGAGGAGGCGGCGGAGGAGGAGGTGGCGGGTGAGCAGAAGGAGGAGCAGAAGGAAACGGAGGATGAGGAGGAGGAGAGGGGAGGAGGACGAGGACAAGCAGCAGCAGGGAGTGGAGCAGGGACCATTTGAGACGGCGGAGGACGGGCAAGGCGGGGGGGCGACGACGACGAAAAGGGGCTCTGCATGCATGGGAGGAGGAGCTGCTGTCGGGTTGAGCAGGAGGGCGTGCAGGCGGAGCTGGAGGAGGACGTGAACGGGGAGCCGAGGACGAGCAAGACGGCAGCGGGAACGGGAGTGTGGAGGCGGCGGGAGGAGCAGAAGGGCCCAGAAGAAGGCGGCGGAAGCAAGGAAAGGAAGGGGGCGACCACGACGAAACCTCCTCCCTCTCCTCCTCCTCCTCCTCCTCTTCCTCCTCCTCCTCCTCCTCCTCTTCCTCCTCCTCCTCCTCCTCCTCCTCCTCCTCCTCCTCCTCCTCGTGTCCAGGAAAGTGGCCCGCGCCGGGGCGGGATCCGAAAGTGGGGCCCACGCTGCAGCGGGAACACCAGGTTGAGACACCCGCAGCGATCGGGCTGTGGAACAGAGCGTGGGGAAACTCAGGTGTTGAAACAGCGCGTGCGGAAACAATAATTGCGCGCAAAGGGCCGAATATCTTCCAGACGGAGTTACGGGAGAGAGGAGAATAGTGTTCATAATGTGTAATCGCTGAGGTGTGGGGACGGGGGGGGGGGCAGATGGAGGACGGAGGAAGGTGAAAGAAGGGCAGTCGCAGCCGACGGAGCAGCAGCAAAGAAAACAACAGGATGGAGGCTCGATGGTAGAACTCCCGCCTCTGAGTCGGGACCTGCTCGCCTGCACCCCACGCGCAGGCCGAAGACACAGCGGGACAATGAGCGAGACACAGTGGGCCCATCGCGCGGCGATGCTGCCAGAGCAGCGAGCGTGATGCTCACGCCAATGCAGAATGATGGCCGCATGGCGCTCCAACTCTGGCTGCAGAAACAAACGTTCAATCCGTCAAGATACGCTGGATCAGGAAACATGAATCGCGCCGCTCTCATCCCTCCTTAATCCCCGGAACGAAGTGTAGCCTAGTCGGTTTGACTCGCCTCGGCTACCTGGAAAATTCATACTCTCACCAGCGGCACGTACCTCACGTCCAGAAGGTTCTGATACGAGAAACGGCCGTCAACACCCCTGTCCACCTGCATAAACACCTGAGACTCCTTGCCGACGGGAATGACCATCCTGCCTCCCGGCTTCAGCTGCTCGAGCAGCGCATGAGGAATCTCCGCAGCAGCGGCGCCTACATGTATCGCGTCAAAGGGCCCCTCCTCTGGTCGGCCCTTCCAGCCATCGCCGACCTCAAGCATAAGCCGCGGCTTGGACCCACGAAGAAGCGCCGCGTCCGACTTCCCAACATTGCTGCGCGAGAGCTCCACCAGCGGCTCCAGGTAGTCGATGCCAACCACGATGCCCGAAGGGCCCACCAAGTGCGCCATGACCGCCGAGAAGTAACCGCTGCCACAGCCAACGTCCAGGGCGCGGGAGCCAGGGCGGAGGTGCTTCTCCAGCAGCTTGAGCGCTCTGGCATGCATGTGAGGGGCGCTGATGGTGGCGCGGTGCCCTATGCTTACCGGTATGTCCTCGTAGGCGCTGCGGCAGACGAAGTCACCCCTGTCCACAGACCTCATCGCTTCCAGCGCCTGCCCCCGCAGGCCACACGAAGCCCCGAGCTGATCCACCAGGTTGCTCCAGCCCAAGTGCACTGCCCTCGCAGGCAGAGGGCCCACTGCCTCCGCCTCTGTTCCCTGCGGCAGCGCCTCAAAGGGCTCGTCGGTCGGCTGCGCGGCCGCCTGGGCTGCGATCCCTTGCGGCACTGTGGCTGGCGAGCCCCCTTGCATCGAGCCAGCCACCAAAGCCAGTGGTCTCCCTGCAGCGTGGGCGGTGGGCTCCTCCAAGTCAGGCGGGAAGGCAGTCGGCATCGCGACCAGCTCTGCCGAGACACCGACCAGTGGGCTCGTGGCTTGTGGAACCGCGGCCTGCCGTGCCGCTACAGTGAGCCCGTGCGCGCTGTCGGCCGGCAGCTGCAGCTGCAGCTCCCTGAAGTCGAACATGCGGTGCGCATGGCCTGGCAAAGGCTCGCGCGCGAATGCCGCAGCCAGGGCACCCTGAGACACAATGGCTACGGAAGGTGCATTACCTCGGACGAAATCGGAGAAGCCGGGGCAGCTGCTGGCGCAACCCGCATCGCCAATCGCAGGGTGAAGTCACAGCGGGGGGGACGCTGACCACACTAACTCCGTGCGCCCCCGGGTCTGCATCCCGAGAGCGGTTGCTTCTGTGCTCACGTGGATGCACAATGTACGATTACTATCTGGGTTGTCCCAGTCGCACTCGCATGCACAGCCTACTTCAATATGGGAAAGGCCCCAGAACAGTACGCTGCCAGAAATAAACGCGCGATGATCACATCACTGGAGCAATCGCCCACAGAAACTACTGGCGTATTACCGTTCAAGATCTCCCCCCCCGAGGCCATGCCCTTGCCGGTATTTACTCTGTGGAGCTCAAAGAGCCCGAACTTGAATGCGCCCAACTTCTTTTCGCGTGCCCTTGCCCTTGGCAATGGCAGCCGCCTCCCCGGGGTCACCTGCCGACTGCCGCCGGGCTGTTTGACTGCGCAGCAGCCACGCTGAGCCCAGCGCGCGACGCAGCTCCTCGCAAAACGGTGCCCTACATAGAAAAGCGACAGGATGAACGTGCCACTGCACTTCTGTCGGCGCTGGGTGTCGCAAAGCGTGCCGCTACCACTGTGCCGCTTGCCCTCCCAGCCCTCTGCCCACGCGGCCCTCAGAAGTCGAACAGCAAGTCCAATAGCCGCCACAACCATCCGCTCCATTTGACCTGGCTGGAAGGGTGTCACAGAAGAGTTCCCATCAGGCCTTGTTGATAATGCCTTGCCTGCGGGTTGCATGTTGCCGTCACACTCCGGCGTGACGTCTGCGACATCATACGTGAGTAAGCGAGCCATGCATAACTGGGGAACCCTTCCTATAGATGAGGCCCTATGGGCAGGAAGCCCACGAATCGCACGACAGCGTGGCAAACGAGATCATGTCTTGGCATGCGAAAGAAAGCAGCGCTCGAAACAAACCAAAAAAGACCTTCCTTGCAGCGTGGCGTGTGAAGGCAACGTGGTGCCCGTGGGCATCAGCGTAGAATGACGAATGTGGTGCACTCCAAGGGGGATGCAAGAGAGCTTCGAGATGATCCGGCTAGAACCCCCCAACAGGGCTTCAAGAGGGCTCGTAGGCCCAACAACCTGTCACATACACACAAGGCCCTTGTGCGTGACAGGTTGTGAGGCAATCTTGGAGCCCGTCGGGGGCCGTCTCAGGGGCCTCTTGGAGCCGTTGAAGCTTCAGGAGGCCCCGGAAGACGGCCAACAAATATGTCGGGCAGCCCGTTCAGTTTCCAATGCATGTACGATGTAACCTCACCCATGTGCTTTTGATCTCCGCGTTCCACTCTCTACTACCTACCCCCATATCATCTACACTGCATTATTTCTTTATCCGCCACCGTGCCTCTGGCACGAAGTGGAATGCCTTCAGCTCCCTGGTCACATCCGTCCTCAACCCTGGACAAATTAATATAACAAAAACGCGACCCAAATGGCCGGAGTTCTGGGGGCTCTCCGCGTGCCTCTTGGGCCTACCGCGCATTGCCGCGCTAACTTTTCCAGAGCCATCACGGGCCAACAGGGCCCAAAGAGACCCCGAAGGCGGCTCAAGAGGGCCTCGATTCGCCAAAAGAGCATTCCAAGAAGCCCAAGATGACCTCCAGACGGCCGAAGACGTTTCTAACACGCCCTTAGAGGGCTCCAAGATCACCGCCAAGAGAGCCCCGAGAGGCTAATATATTGATTGTCCTTAGATGTATAAGGATTTGCATGTTCTCCCCTTCTCGGGCTTTCCGACGCTACAAGACGGCCTAAGAGGCCCCCAAGATCGTCCGAAGATGGCCCAAGAAGCCCCCAGGAGGGTCCCAAGGCGGCCCAAGAGGACCCCAAGACGGCCCAAGAGGTCTCCAAGAAGGCCCCAAGAGAGAGGGGCGCCAGAGCGGGAAAGCGAAGGCGCCCAGCAAGACGCCCCCAAGAGACAACAAGGGCCCCCCAGGAGGCCCCCAAGCGGTCCCCAAGAGGCCCCGGTAACACTTGAGCCATATAGCTTGCATCCAAGTCGGAGGCATCCCAAGAAGCTTCCGAAGAAGCATCCCTAAAACCCCCGCAGGCATCCAAGATACCTCTGACTCACTTCTCAGACACGCAGGCGGGACTGGCCGAAGGCCACCAAGATACTAGACACAAATCTCTGCACTCTGCACGCTGATCCTTTTTTCCAGACCATCCTGTGGGGTCATCGTTTTGAAGAGACAGCGCCCCGCGTCTACTTCTTTCCTCCTCTCCTCCTCCCCCTCATCCCTCCTCCCATCTCTGCCTCTGCCCTACCCCTCACACGTTTCCTGGCCCCATTGGGAACTCCACCGAAGGCCCCAATGGCGACGTTTGCATGCGGTTCCCCGCCCATTCCGGCACACACACACACACACACCACGCGTGTTCGTGAACCCCCAGGGAGCTCTACCGAAGGCCAGAGTGGCGACGTTCGCATGCGGCTCCCAAAACATTCCGGTGCACCCCTCACACGTTTCGTGACCCCGTAGGGAGCTCCACCGAAAGCCCCAGTGGGGACGTTCGCATGCGGTTCCCCGCCCATTCCGGCACACACACACACACATATATATATATATATATACACACACACACGCGCGCACGCACACGCACACGCACACGTACACGCACACGCACACGCCGACGCACACGCACACGCCCACGCACACGCGCACGCCTGCACGCCTGCACGCCTGCACGCCTGCACGCCTGCACGCCTGCACGCCTGCACGCACGCACGCACGCACGCACGCACGCACGCACGCACGCACACACACACACACCACCACCACCACCTCAACCACAACCACCACCACCACCACCACCACAACCACAACCACAACAACAACAGCAGCAGCAGCAACAACACACAAACACTCACACTCCCACACACGCACGCACGCACGCACGCACGCACGCACGCACGAACGCACGCACGCACGCACGCACGCACGCACGCACGCACGCACGCACGCACGCACACGCACGCACGCAAGCACGCACGCACGCACGCACGCACGCACACACACACACACACACATACGCACACACGCACACACACACATACTCGCGCGCACCACGTGTTACGTGGATCCATCAGGAGCTCCACCGTGTGCCTCGGTTCGCATGCGGTTCCCCGCCGTTTTCGGCACACCTCTTACATGTTTCGTGGCCCAATAGGAAGCTCCAAAGAAAGCGGTGCCACAAGGCGGCACCCATAATTGCATACATATGGTGGGGTCCGTCGCCAGGATATTCAGTTCCTCTCTCTCTCTCTCTTTCTCTCGCTCTCGCTACATCTATACAGATACATATTCTCATACGCACCTCTCCGAGGGAGTAGAGCTCAGAGGCGATTAATGTGTACGTGCCGCGTCGTTCGCGGTTAGTCTGGCCGTTTCGCTAGGGACATCCTCGAAATTCTGAGAATCGGTGGCGCTCCTCACACAGATCGTGACGTCAGGGTCCAAAAACACATGGGAACTTCAACATTTGAACATAAAACCTTCAAGCACACATCGTAATTTCAATAATTTTGACCCCGATTCTCAGAGAATGGCGGTTTCGCCTGAGACATCCTCCCAAAATCGAGCCCCGACGTACCTTCTGGTACCCCAGACCCCGCCTCGGAGCCTCCTGGGGGCCTCCTGGAACCTCCCTCCTAGGGCCTCCTGGGGCTTTCTGTACCTTCTGGTACCCCAGACCCCGCCTCGGAGCTTCCTGGGGGTCTCCTGGAACCTCCTGGGGCCTCCTGCGGCCACCTACGGCCTCCTGGAGCCTCTTGGGGCCTTCTGGAGCCTCCTGGGGTCTCCTGGGGCCTCCTGAGGCCGCCTGGGGCCTCCTGGGACCTCCTGGGGCCTCAGAACTACATACACACACACAGAGACACAAATCACACCCAACACATCACACGCTAGACAAACATAACACACACACACAACACCTACAACGCACAGAAAACACGCACAACACAGAGCACACATCACACACACACACACACACAAACCCACACAACACTCACAATCCTGGGGCCTTCTGGAGCCTCTTCCGGTATCCAAGTCGGGCCTCCTGAGACTTCCTGGAGGGCCGCAGCTTCCCCTTCTCCATCTCCGATCCCGCCGTCATGGTGTCTTCCTGCTTCAAACGCTCTTTCAGTTTTTTTTTCGTATGAGCCTGGGCACACACGTGCCACTTGTATATAAACACACACATATACTATTATGCAAAGATTGGCAGTCTCAAGTTTGGATGAAATACGCGACGCGCGTTGCGCGACAGACCTGCACACAGTTGCGCAAATGAAGTCTCGAGTAGCACGTGTGGCTACGCTGTGCGCAGTACCGGCAGCACTGCGAGATGATGAGAATGCCCGGATTGTTGGGCAAGCCGCCGATGCTCGCGATCTTTGGCTCTGAGTGCAGGCACGGTGGCGGATATATATATATATATATATATATATACATAGATGCAAATCTATGTATATGTCCGCCACCGTGCCTGCACCGCGTAAGGAATGTCCCAAGGCTCATGCAGCCGTGAAAATTGGGAGTTGTAAGGTTTAAACAAAACTGGGCATTCTGCAAGATGTCTCCAAGATCCCCCGGGATTTCCGGGGATTCCCGGGGCGTGTCGCGCGTGCCCTCCAGCAGCACTGCCGGCCAAACATGGGCCCAATCAGCGCCCAAGAGGGCCGAAGATGCCTCCGAGAAGGCCCAAGAGTCCCCCGATACGCTCAAGATGGCCTCAACACGGCCTATGGGGGCCCCGCAGACGGCCCAAGAGTGTTCCAAGAGGCGTCGCAAGAGGGCCCCAAGAGGCAACAATCATTGATTTTGATTAAGTTGTTTGACGTTTATGGCCTTCTCGCCTCTTCTGCTTTCCGACGCTCCAAGACGGCCCACGAGGCCCACAAGACCACCCCAAAACGGCCCCAGAGGCCCCCAAGAGGGCC